CTGCAGCGGGAAAACCAATTTGAAACACCGAAGACAAGAAGATTTGTAAGCACGCCATTCACTGTATTTCTATCAATATATATGAGCATACATATAGATATGTGTGTATATTTACATATATAAATATACATACTTACACATATGTATGTATGTAGGTATGTTTGTATGTATGTATGTAGGTAGGTAGGTAGGTAGGTAGGTACGTATGTACGTATGTACGTATGTACGTATGTACGTATGTACTTATGTACGTATGTATGTATGCATGCATGTATGTATGTATGCGTGTATGTATGTATGTATGTATGTATGCATGCATGCATGCATGCATGCATGCATGCAATGTATGCATGTATGTATGTATGTATGTATGTATGTATGTATGTATGTCTCTGTGTGTGTATGTATGTGTATGTATGTCTGTATATATACATATCCGTAAGGGCCTTGCCCCCTGCTGCCGGCCCCCTCTCTATCATAATGGGATTTCTCAGAGTCGTGCCGTTGCGTCTCAGCGCTGCCTTGGTGCATCTGGGAGCACCATGTGGGGGCGGATAGGAAGCAGCAGCGCGTATTGAGACGTTGGCGTTAACGAAGACGCCTACGGCGAATCACCGCCGCCCCCTGCCTTTTTGGAAGCGCCTGCGTGGCCGAAAGTTGGGTTTGAGCTTGGCTAAGCTATCGGGCCACGCGTTCCCCGAGTGGGTTTCGAAAGCCTTCGGGGAACACGGAATCGGGCGAGCTATCGGACCAGGTGGTTTCCAAGCTTTCTTGGAGCTTCCTGGGGACCTTGGGAAGGCCTCTTGGGAGGCCTCCTTGGGCTTTTTGGGGACCTCTGGGGGCTCGTTGAGGACTTCTTTGGTAGTCTTAGGGCGTTCCTGGCCCATCTGACCCCGTCGGAAGCCGTCTATGAGGCCTCTCGGAGCCGCCTTCGGGCCCTCATGGGACGTTTCAGAGCCGTCTTCGAGGCAATCTAGGCGTCTTGGAGGCCTCTTCGGTCGTTTTGGGGCCTTCTTGGGGCCGTCTTGGGGGCTTCTTGGGCCGTCATGGGGCCATCTTGGAGGCCTCTTGGGCGCTCTTGGGTCGATGTTGGGAGTCGCTTGGGCCGTCTTGGGCCGTCGGAGAGCTGAACAGGAGCAAAAACCAAAGTCCTTCAAACACCTACGGACATTATTTTTACCCTGTCGGGCCTTCCTGGAGGACGTCTTGGAGGGCTCTTGGTCCGTCTTGGAGGCCTCTTGGGGGCCTTTTGGGCAGCCTTAGGCCATCTTGAGGCCACCTTGGGCCGTCTTGGGTGCATCTTGGGGCCATCTTGGCCGTCTTGGAGGCCATCTTGGCCGTCTTGGAGGCATCTTGGAGGCCATCTTGGCAGTCTTGGATGCCATCTGGGGCTTCTTGGGGGCCTGTTGGGCCGTCTTGGGGCCTTCTTGGGGCCGTCTTGCGTCCCCGAGGCCATAAACCTTTTTGCCAATTTCACAAGATTCACATTACAGAGGCCCAAAGAGGGCCCAAGATGGTTCCAAGGCGCCCGAAGATGGTTCCAAGACGGCCCAAGAGGGCCCAAAGAGGTCCCAAGAGCGCTCCCCCAAGAAGGCACCAAGAGAGCCCCAAGACTGCCCAAGAGGCCTCTAGACGCCCAAAGTGGCCTCCAAGACGGCCCTGTAGCACCCCAAGAGGGCCCCAAGTCGGCCCAGAGAGGCCCCCAATACTGCTTCAAACGGCGTCAGGAGGGCCAGGTGCCCACCAAGACGGCCAACGAGGCCCCCGAGAAACCAACAAAGGTCCCCAAGACACCCAAGGAGGCCCCCAAGATGCCTCCAAGAGGCTCCCAGGAAAGTCCCAGGAGCCCCCAAGAGTGTCCCCAGAGGCTCCCAAGTGGCCCCCTCCTCATCCTCCCCTTCCGCCTCCACCCCCTCCTCCTCCTCCTCCTCCTTCTCCTCCTCCTCCTCCTCCTCCCTCCTCCTCCTCCTCCTCCTCCTCCGAAGCCATTTTGGCTCAAGCCATTTATTGTGGCTTAAGCTTCCACGACTGGACGCAGGTCTTGAAGCAGGCGCGAGCGCCCCTCTTGCCTCTGTAAACCAGCCCCCCGACTTGATAGAGCAGTGAACGTAGTAGAGTCGAGCTCAGAAGCATGTGCAGCATCCTGTAGCCGATACGGCTCAAGCTGCGCAGTTGATAACACAACACTAATTATTGCAAGAGATCCCCATATCAGAAGTATCATATACTACCTTATCTATCACTAAGTGATATCAAGATATCTCTGCTGGTGGTATTTGTTTGACTCAGACTGAGTGGACAGACGTCTTCGCCAGACGTGCGGAGAGAGAGAGAGAGAAAGAGCGTGATCGTCTTGTCATCGCCGACATCGAGGTTGTCATCGACAACTCTAGCTGGTAGCGGAGCTGGCATTGCCAGCTCCACGGACAACGAAGAGCCCGATATCTCGTACAGATGTTCAGGTCTCCAGTCGGACAGTTTCAGCCATTCGGAGATGGTCGCGGCGCAGGAGCTGGGCGTGGACGCACAGCATGGCCGTATGGACAGCACGT